CCTTTTCATTCTTCTCAAACCTCCACGGCTCCCCCCTCCCCACTTTCTCAGCTGAGGACTTTGCCTCATATTTCACTGAAAAGACTGAGAAGTCTTCCATTCTTCTTCCCTCATCTCCCATCACTCAGAGGCGTTCTCCCATTGATTCCTCCCGCCCTGTCCAAGCAAACCCTTCTATGTGCCCACGTGATCCCATTCCATCCTGTCCTTTCCAGCAGATCATCCGCCTATCAGGCCCGTTCTCTACTTTTCAGTCTCTCCTTACTAGCTGCTTTCCCTGCTCCTGACCAACAAATACCATTCTCAAAACAACCCTCATTTGGTCCACCTATTCCTCCTAGCTTTCATCCTCTCTCCCCCCTTCTGGCCTAAACCCTTTGAGAAGGCTCTCTACAATGGGTGCTTCCACTTCTTTCACTCTTCGCTTCTTAACTCTGCAGCCTGGCTTCCAAACGCATTCAACTGAAACTGCTCTCTCTCCAAGGACCCAGTGATCTATCTCTCATTTGTCAAATCTAATGGCCTTTCTCAAGCCTCATCTTTCTGGACTTCTTTGGCATCTTTGACACTGTGATCACCCTGTTCCCCTGGACACTCTCTTCTCTTTAAGTTATTTTGATACTGCTCTCTCCTGGCTCTTGTCCTACTTGTCTGACGGCTCCTTCTCATCTCCTCTGCTGGATTTTCATCCAGGTAGTGCCTGCTAAACATGATTAACTTTGGTCCTCCCGGGCCCTGTCCCAGGCTCTGTTCTCTTCTTCCTCTGTAATATTTCACCTAGTGATCTCATCAGCTTCCATGGATTCAATTATCATCTCTTTTCTTTCTTTCTTTCTTTTCTTTCTTTTTTTTTTGGCAAGGCAATTGGGGTTAAGTGACTTGCCCAGGGTCTTGTAGACATCTTAAACTCAGCATATCCAAAGCTGAATTCATTATCAATAATAACAGAGAAGTTAGGAAAACTTGCCAGTTTGGGAAGAAAGATAATGATTTCAGCCAAGTAAGTTTAAGATGTCTACAAGACATCCATTTCAAGGTGTTTAATATGCATTTGGATTGGTAAGTCTGAAGGTCAGTAGAGGAGTTGGCCTGGATAGGTAGATTTAAGATATAGAGATGATAATTGCTAGGGCAGCTAGGTGGCGCAGTGGATAGAGCACCAGTCCTGGAGTCAGGAGGACCTCAGTTCAAATTTGGGTTCAGATACACAACACTCACTAGCTATGTGACCCTGGGAAGATGATTAGAAAAGAGCTTAGCTTGCGTGGTTTACAGAGGTTTTTTTTAATGTGTTTAACTACAAAGAAACTTCATTCTGAGAGGACTTATTAATTGTGAAATTGCTGAATTTGAGGATTCTGGTTTTATATACATACACACACACACGGATATATGAATATATGCACACAAATAGAACAGATATAGAGGTATGCTTTCTTCAGCTGAGCATTTATTAAGCAATGACTCTGTGTGAGGCCCTGAGCACAAGTTGTCATGAGCACACCCAGCCACCTTCTAGGTCTCCTGAGAATGACATCAACCTTTTGTCCTTCTTTATTGTTAAAAATAATAGCAGCTGACTTTTATGTAGCACTTACTATGTCCACACACACACACAGCTGGGCACCTTCACAGGAACCATTAACTCCTGCAAGGACAAGAGGTTCTCAAATCCTACCTTTATCTAAAATGGAGGTAAGAATACTTGGAACTCTTCTATTCCCCAGATCATGGCTTTTACTTGATCCAGAATAAAGATCATAGCCATCTACACATTTCACTTTTATCAGGGCAGGGGCTGAATCTTTACCTTCTTTATCAGTTCTCAGAGCTATACTTTACACACAGTGGAAGCTGGATAGATATTTGCTGTTTATTTGTTTGTTATAACTATATAGTATAGAGATGGCAGTTCTAGAGGGAAAGTCTGTATCTTCTCCATGTCCATATAGCCCAGAGGGTGAGTCCCATGTCAACTGATGGTGCTAGGGAAATAACAATCTCTTCAAACATATTATATTAACCATATTATTATAACCATTCCTTCAGGTAGGTAATGTAAATATTATTAATCCTTATTTTATAGATTTGGGAACTGAGGCTCAGTCAGAAATGCACCACAGTGTAATGGAAAGAATGATGACTTTGAAGTCAGGGAGATCTGAGTTCAAATCCTGATTCTTCCACTTACTACCTGTGTGACCTTGAGCAAAATATTTAACCTTTCTAGGCCTTAGTTTCCCCATGGATAAAATGAAAGGGTTGGACTGGATGGATGAATGAATGAAAAAGCATTTGTTAAGCCCTTACTGTTGACCAAAGCTTATAAAATCTTTTAGGCACAAGTCTTTTAAGAGAGCTGGCTGCTGGCTAAATAAATGTTAACTGACTATGAATAGGACAAAATAATTCTTATTATCCTATCTCTCTCCCTTTTCACAAGTGTACTAAAATAAGGGATCTTTTAATTTATAGACTTAGGGTTGGTGACCATTTTACATTAATTAGGATTTAGGGGCATAACTTGAAAATAGAGTTCTAGTTTAAAAACAACAACAACCCCACAAAGGAAGGTATTTCTATTGGCCCTGATTACTTGGGCAAAATTCCCACTTAAAACATTTTATTTTCAGGCTTGGGCATTTTTTCTTTTGTTTTTATAAATTTTGTCCCTGTTGGATCCGTTAGTGGATTCTTCAATTTTCCTTCCTTTGTGCATGCTCTTTTACAAACAAACCTTTAAAAAACATTAGGTCTTTCCATGCCCCTTGTGAAATAAAAGGCGTGTAACATTGTAGTTATCAATGGAGGCCACATTATCTTCTTGCTTTTTACAATGGGGGATATGGTAATGATTATTCACCCCCTCTTCCTTCAACACTAATAAGACTTGGAAAAGGCAGCAGCCAGGATCCCATAAATGACTGAGAAGACCTTTCTGTTGCTAATGGGATAGGGTCTTTTCAATTTAAAATAAGCCTTTGCCTTAAAAATAAGACACTCCCAATGGCCACTAGATCTGGCCTAATAGAGAGGAGTGATGTTGTTCTCTACCTTCAGAGGGCATTGGGGAGCAGGCCACAGAGACCCTAAAATGGGGGACAATAATTTTTACCGAACCTTAATGTGATTCTCGTCAATTCACAAACATTTATGAAGGTCCTATAATGTGTGAGGTAGTGCACAAAACCAAAACGAATCGATCCTTGTTCTGTAGGAGCTGAGGGTTTGCTGTTAACCATTTGGCCAGTCTGGGAGAAATGAAAAGAGCAGGGCAGACATCCTCAGTAGTGCAGCAGTCCGGCCACAGCTCCGCCTCACACTGGCTCCCTGCCAGAGCTGGCTCTGCAGGTTCTCTATCCCCCAACATATACACACTCACATGGACATGCTTCATCTCCAAGTTTACCCTTCACAGCTACCTGTTTTAAGTAATGTCACATAAATTACACGGATCTCCATGGATTCTACTCTTTTCAAAACTAACTATCTTTCTTGGGTTTAAGCCAACAACTCAGCAGAAAGCACAATTGCTCTTTGAGACTTCAGTCATTTTTAGGAGACAAAGTAATGACTGGTAGACCCCATGTTAGTTATGATCCACAGTGCATTGTTTAACAATGTCAAGCCCCAGGGAAAGCAAAATCTTTTCTGTTCTTTAAGTGATCAACACTAGAATGACACAATAGCAATCTGCAAGTAACCTTCCTTTTCCATTTCACCAACTAAATTCTGTTTATGTTTTGGTTCAGTTTGTAATCTTCTTCCTAATTAAAAATTAGTCTGCCAAGTCAGGGGTCAGCAAACTATGGCCAGGGCCACATCTGGGGCCTGTTTTTGTGTGGCTAGTGACCTAAGAATGGTTTTTACATTTTAAAATACAATTAAGCTTTATTTTAAAATGTAAAAACCCCTCCTAGCTCTCTTTCCCTTGCTTATGGCTAGGCGTGGCTTATTCTTGTTCTGAGGGTCATTTCTGAATAGTTTTGCCTTCAATATCCCTCTCTTAGCTCTTTCTTTGTCCTCTTAGTTGAGCCTTGTTTCCTAGTGCTATTTTACATAATGGTGCTCTCGTCTGATGAAAATGTTAGGAAGGAACGAGGCAGAATGTCATTGTGGGTAGAGGGTAGAGCTTGGAGTCAGCAAGACCTGGGTTCAAATCCTGCCTCTGATCCATATTGACTGTATGATCCAAGGCCAGGTACGTGTAATTTCTCAATGCCTTCGGCAGCTCTCCAGGAGTTGAAGTCACCTTCAGAGAAGGTGCCAACCTGCACTGGTAAGAGGGAGTTTCCTATAGAAGTAAAATCAGAGGCTCTGTCCTTATTCTTACCCTGTTATTCATATTACTCATCCCCAGCTGTGAACGAACTGCCGTGCGCAGTGCAGCCACGCCAGGAAGGCTGAAGCAGCAAGGCCCCAGACGTCCCAGGCAAGTCAGAGCCCCACCTCCATCTTGGCCACCATCTCCATTCAGACTCTGAAGAAAACATCCCAGGACCGTGAACGCCAAAGCCTTGGGAGCAGCCATGCTTCCAGCATTGTGCCCACAGCCATCATCCTAGGAAGGATTCCCTGTGCAGAGGAAGCCTGGCAACCACTCCTGTCGGGGCTGCAGCCACGGCTACTGAAGATGCAGAAAGGAAAGTTCTTGCCACCACAGTCTTTGGCACTATCACACAGTTTAACATCAAAAAACCGAGAGGATTCTATCACTGGAAATCACACTAAAGAAGCATCACCATCTGTTTTGCCACCAAGCCCTAAAGACCACAGGACATTTTCACTTGACTTGTGTGAAACCTTCCATGGGGACTGTCTGACTTTTTTTATTTGTGTCCCCATCTTCCTTCCTTCCTTTCCTTCCTTCCCTTCTCTTCCATTTCCCTCCTTCCCTCCTTCCTTCCTTCCATCTCCTTTAGACTAAAACAACAAACAGTGGAAGGCAACTTCTCTTCTCTCCATTTTAAACCTCCACTTCTTCCCCAGGAGTCACTCACACTTGCAGGCGTCTGGCGCAGAGAAGGGTCTCCGAAGGTCCCGGTAGAAGCCTGGCTTGCACCGCTGGCAGTGTTGGCCTTCTGTGTTGTGCTGACAGTTGTCACACACTCCACCACTCCGATTTCCTGATGCTCGCCATACATCCTTGTCAAAGTGACATGTATCAGCATGGCCATTGCACTTGCAGGCTGGGAAAGAGGAGAGAAGGAAAGCACATGGTGAAAAATGAGACAGAAGTGCGAGCTGTGATAGGGCTTTTCAAGATTCAGAGCATTAAGGGGTAGTCAAGGTAAACTGGGTACTTGTTTTTAAAACACCAAATTTTCAAGACCTTTCTTTGTTCTAAGGAAACCAACAAAGTTAAAACTTATTCATTAAACAAAGAAACTGCAGAACATCACCAATTTCCAGGGTGGAGAATTGTATTAAAGAGGAAGTCACCACAGACCAAAATGTCTCACTTCTTTGCAATGAGGATAAGGCTGCAAAAAGCCTACAGTGATCATGGCCTGTTTCGGGGCATCCCTTGGCCCCATTCTGGTTGCTTTAATGAGTAACCAGTTTAACCAGCTGATAGCTTGAAAATCCATGCAACATGACCACTTATGAAAGAGATACTGACCCACTGATTGCTCTCTCCTCAAATTTTCATTTGGTCCTCTCTCAGGATCTCTCCTTTGCCTACATAATCTACTTTGCATTATACGCATATGTAAGCATGCCCTATCTCCCAGATTAGATTATAAATTGCATGAGGGCAGGAGCCATATCTGTTTCATCCCTGTATCCTTGGTGCCCAGCCCAATGCCTTGAATATAGGGGCTTAACTGGTGCCTGATGAATATGGATCAGCCTAAGCTAATACTCAGGCATTACTTCCAAAAGTTCTGGTCAAAGTATAACAAATATAAGAACTTATTGTTCTTGGAATAAAATTTCTGAGGTGTAGCTACAGAGTATGAAGTCAGGGTAGAGAAATCAAATTCCTTCAGAAACCACAAGTTCCCGTTGTAAGCCAGCTGCCCTATCTCTCAAATACTAAGTTCCCTAGACATATTTCATAGATTATCTTTCAACAGATTCAAGAAGCACACTCTCTTTTCTTTTTCTTAATGGACTTAAATGAGCAACTGGTTTCTATGGAAAGGGCCAGAATGGCACTCTAGGAAACTGGGAAAAATTCTAGACTATTTTAAGTGATTTAGAATAAAAATATAAACTTCCTCATTGATTGCAATGCTGCTTTAAAATATTCTTGCCATTGTTTTTTCAGTGTTTTCTTGATATATGATGGTACTGGGACAGATTCTTAATTTAAAATACTCTAAAAACACATGATAAGGAACATATATAGCGACCATAATGATTTCAGCTATATAGTTAAGGGCAATTGTTAACATTTCTTATACACAAAAATAAGAGTCATATCCTTAATTGATGCCTGAAAAGATGGGCCAATGGTTGGGACAGGTTGAGGCGGGGACTCCGAGAAGAGATGGATCTGCCAAAGTAAGGTGAGCGATCCTGGCAGCGAACACTAGGAGGGAGCCTAAGTAGATGGTTGGGGAATGTAACAATAAGCAACAGGCAGTGATCAAAGTAGACAGAGGAATGGCACAGGGAGAGTAACACTGGGTGAGAGGAGAATATCCCCACAGACAGGCTGTACAGCATCAGCACATCCAGGTGGAAGGCAGTGAGTAGCAGGAAGCAGGCAGGCAATCAGCAGGGGGGGATCTAGCAGCCGGAAACAAGGAGCTAGCCCAAGGGACTGGGTGCAAGGGACAGGGCTTCAGTACCCAGTGAGAATAAGGCCTCAGGGTTGTAGGACAAGGTAGGAAGAGAGAAATATAAGAACAGCTGAACAAGACAGGACTCTGTATTAGTACTAGGCTAACAAGATGGGGCACTTGGTCACAATGAACCGTTGTGAGGGCTAGGGTACAAAGTGAGCAAAAGTGGAACCACTAGGGACTGTTTGATTTTTGTCTTTGTCCCACATATCTATGCCAGTACTTGGCACATAATAGGCATTTGATAAATGTTTGATGAATGCATCCTGGATTTTTCTCTCCTGTGGGAGAATACGCAGGATAAATCTATGAAGGTCAGGCTGCCTACGGGAGTATGTCTGATTTTTAGTGTTAATTCAATTCCCTAGAGAGAAATTAGCACCGACTATAGAGGAAGCATGAAGGAATCATAACCCTCGTCTTCAAGCTCATAGTCATGGCCTAGAATGAATGCTTTAGTTAGAGATGTCAGCAGCTGGCAAACTGCCCAGGTCTCTGTAATCATCCTGTTTGGTCTCTATGTGTTATTAACCAGTGCTGTAGGCTGCTCATCTATGACCTTGATCAAGAGTTCCCTTAATAAAAATAATAAAAAAAAAGATTTTTTTCCCTAGGGATTATAAAATCTATAGGATATTTTTAAAAGTACAGTAGTTTGACTAAGCTTGAAAAACTGGAGGTGAAATTGCTCCACTTTTGCAAGCACATGGTTGGAGTTTTCATGGTTCACCCCCTCCCTGGCCCCCTCCTCCATCACCTTCTCAGGACTCTCCCTGGGGAAGTGCACCCTCACTCATGGCTGCCCAGAGAAGGTAGCACAGTTTATTATCTGGAATCTGATTTATCATCCAAAGTACCCTTGATGAAATCTTTTTCTTTGTCTGGGATGCTGTAGCAGCTGTGATCACATACCGCTAGTGATTCCATGTATCTAGCCAGCCTGCTTTACAAAACCAATCAATTAATTCAAAAAGTGTTCAATAAGAGCCTTTGAAGTATCCTGCACTGTGCTGGGCCTGAGGATATAAATACAATGAAACAATCCCCATTCTTTCGGAGTTTACTTTCTCATGGGTGGAAACAAGTACAAAATAAGTATAAACAGAACAAATTAAAAAAGAACACACACAAATAAATAGAAATCAATGAGAGAGGCAACGGATAGAGAACTCTCCTCAAAGCTAGGAAGACGTAGGTTCAAGACTTGCTTTTAAGACACACTGACTGTGTGACCTTGGATCATTCATTTAATATCTCAATGTCCTAGGAAATCCTATAGAACTATAAATTGTAAAGTAATAATAATAACAAGAATTAGCATTACATAGCACTTCCTTTTAAAACATTATAACATTTTACCTATGAAAGAACCCTGGGAGGTAGATGCTATTATTATCCTCATTTTACAGATAAGGAAACTGAGGAAGAAAGAAATTTAAGTGACTTGCCAAAGACCACACAGTTAATAAGTGTCTGGGGCTGGATTTGAACTTGGATCTTCCTGACTCTGGATCTAGTACTCTACCCACTGTACCACCCGGCAGATCTGCCTTAATTGAGGAAATTTCATCACCAAGGAGTGAGTTCCCTATACTCTGAAATTATAGGTCTCATCTGTACCTGTATTCTTAAGTATAAAGTAGGGAGAACAGTAGCAATTGGGGAGGGATGAGGAAAATCTTCACTAGAAAGTTGTGCTTCAGTTGTGAATTGAAGGAGAACAGGGGTTCCATGGAGCAGAAGGGAGGGTGTCCAAGCATGGGGGAAGCCAGTACAAAGGGAGAGAGAAGGGAGATGGGACTGCTCTTGGGAAGAGCAGAGACAGGGCCAGCTTGGGTGAACTGGAGAGTGCTGGAGGAGCCATGACGGGCAGTGGGGCTGGAAACACAGGTTAGGGCCAGGTTATGAAGGGCTTTAAAACCCAAATAAAGAGGTTTATTCTGTATCCCTGAAATGACAGGGAGCCACTGAGGTTTACTGAATAAGGGTGGTCATAAGGTCAGACGTGTGCTTAAGGAAAATCGGTTTAGCAACAGTGTGGAGAATGGATTGGAAGGGATACCAATTGACACACGGAGATCAATTAGGATAAATTAGCAAAAATCTAGATGACAAGTGATGAGAGCCTGCATGGGTGGAGAGAAGCATCAGGTGCGGGAGATGTGAAAATCTTTTTTTTATGGTTTTTTTTTTATGTTTTTGTATTTTTTTTTAAATTTTTAGGCAACTGGGGTTAAGTGACTTGCCCAGGGTCACACAGCTAGTAAGTGTCAAGTGTTCAGTCTGAGGCCGGATTTGAACTCAGGTCCTCCTGACTTCAGGGCTGGTGCTCTATCCACTGTACCACCTAGCTGCCCCCTGGAGATGTGAAAATAGAAATGGCAAGATGTGGCAAACGATGAGATGTGTGCAGTGAGGGGGACTGAGGAGTCAAGGATAATGCTGAGGTTCCGAACCTGGCATGCTAGAAGAGTGGTGGTGTCCTCAAAAGAAACAGGGGTGTCTGGAAGAGAATCATACTTGGAGGAAGAAAGAGAATCCTTTCTGTTTTGGGTGTATTGAGTTTGAGATGTTTCCAAGACATTCAGTTTGAAAAGCCTAATAGGAAATTGTTGATGTGGGACTGAAGCCCAGGGGAGAGACTGGGACTATCCAGATATACAGATCCGGGAGTTATTGGCATAGAGAGAGCATTCAACCCAAGGAAACTGATGAGGTCACCAAGGGAGAAAGAGTGGGGAGAGAAGAGAAGGGCCCAGGACAGACCCTTGGGGGAATACCTTGGGTGTATTTGGAGACAATGGGGAAAGATCAAGGTTGGAAACTAGAGAAAAAAGATGACTGAGGCTGCAATTTGCTGCAGAAGAGAGAAGGAGATAAGATCCCTGGGGCTAATGTACCAAGGAAAGGGCTTCATTGTCAGAAACTGTGAGGAGGGAGGAGAGAGTGCAGAATGATGTCAAGAGATCTGAGAGGAGATGACAGTGTAGAGTTGAACTGGTGAAACACAGGTTTGAGATTTGGAAGGGAGGAATGTTAAGGGAAAATTGGGATAATTCCATAAGAAAGTACAGAGAGGCGAAAGGATTGAAGATTTCGATGAACATGAAAAACAGGTTTAGGAGGGATGAGGCATAAAGAGAGATGACAGAAGGTTATGACCACATAAAGTTATGTCAGAGTTTTTGATTGAGGAAGTGGTACACTTCTAATGTGCTGAAAGACCATCCATCTGTGAGGCTCAGGTGCAGGGGAGGAGCAGGTCATGGGACTAGCGCTGAGCTCCCGCAGAGGATCTAACAAAGTCACCCATTCCTGGCAGAACGGGCACCCTGGCAGCTTTACAAACAGTGCCAGTTTTCAATGGCCGATGCTTCAGCTGGGGGGGGGCGCCGCGGGTTATGTTGGAAGAAGCTAGCACCATCTGTCTTCTCCCACCCTGTTGCCTCCGAAGACTCAGGAGACAAGTGTCCCCGAAAGAGTGTGTGGTACAGAGAAGGCTTCTGCGTGTCTGGGGTTTGTCACTTACTTACTTCTGCATTCATTCGGGGCCCCCGTCTTGCCGTTTGCAGCCTGCCAGGGTCGGTCATTGTAGAGGGGGGCACAGTGCTGGCAGTGAGAGCCTGCAGTGTTGTGCCTGCACGTACACTTTCCATGCACCTAGAACAAAAATAAACCAGAGCCATGACTGCAGGGGGTGCCAGGGAAGACAGGGCTTCCCACAATCTAGGCCACAGGGTCTGGCTCTCCCCTCTTGATGTTTATTTACTTTGAAGGATTAATTGCAATCCTAGCAGATCCTGTGTTCAGTGTATTCAGGGATTTTTGAAGATTGAATAACACTTTTTTTTTTTCTGATTGTTAGATGTGTGGTCCTAACTTGCAAGTCACAAACATAGCATTTTTTTTTTTTAGCATATACTGAAGGCATCCTGAGGCAAATTAACTGAGAGATCTGTAATCAAACCAACCAAAAAATATTTACTGAGTATCTACTATGGGGAAGGTACTAGGCTTGGGTGATATAAAGAAATACACGTTTTTGTTATTGCTATAGAAGTGCTAGGAGAGTTCTGAGGAGGCTGGGATAGCCAAGGATGGCTAGCAGAAATGACCTTGAAAAGCTAAAATTTCCAGAGGCAGGGAAGACAGGGAGAGGCATCACAAAGGGAGGGAATTGCAGAAACAAAAGAGGAAGCAGAAATCATCTTTGTGGAGGGCAGTCATTTTTCAGCATGTCTGAAATGCTCTGAATGGACACAGGAATAACCCCTTAAGACCAAGCACTGATGGCAAAAAAACAAAAAACAAAAAACAAAAAAATGCTAGAATCTCTACATGGCTTTAAGATTTGCAAAGCACTTCACTTATGATCTTCCCTGTGAGCCACGGGATCTTCATGACAACCCTGGGAGGTAGGAGCTATTATTAGCCCCATTTTACAGATGAGGAAACTGAGGCTGGAAAAGGGTAAGTGACTTGCCGAGAGTCACACACTTAGTAAGCGTCAGCTCTTTTTGACCCTAAGTCTAAGAGCACTCTATCTACTGACCATCCTTGCTGGCCTAAAATTCAAAACCATATGAAAGGGTCTTAAGGGGAGATGGGGACCCTTGGAATTCAATTTGGAAATTGCTCTCTCAAAATAACATACAGCTCTCAGTGATTCATGATCCCAGGGATTTTTTTTTCTTAAGAGTTTTCTTTCTTTTGGTACCTCTTTCATGAAATAAGCGGTCCTTATAGCTAAAATGTTGATTTATACTTGAAATCACCATTAACCCAAAGAACCATATAATTATAATATGCTCTGTAGGGTTAAAAAATATATTACAGATTGCATGTGGAAAAACCTGCTAGGCTCAAGAATTACCCTGATCTAAGGATCACTGATCTAAATGTGTATAGCATGTAAAACAAAGATATTTCCTGGTATTCTTAGAATAAGAGGAGATTGAGTCATCTCTCTAGGGAGAGAGAGCATGGCAGAGGGGAATGGGCACTGAATCTGGAGTTAGAGAACCTGGATTCCTATCCTAGTGCTATTAATTACTAGCAGTCTGACCTCAGGCAGATCATTCTCTCCCTTTCCTCATCTGAAAAATGTGAATACTTGCAATACTTATACCTGCCCAGGTTGTGGTAAAGAAAGTACTTTTGCAAAAGTGCTATGTAAATATTAATTATATCACTGGTTAAAGGTATTTTCTGTTGATGTAATTGTATTGTGTGATGAAGGGTTTCTCTGGTTGCTTTTAATTAGAATAGTGCTCTATATGCAGCAAGCACTTAATTTTTTTTTTTTTAAGGCAATTGGGGTTAAGTAACTTGCCCAGGGTCACACAGCTAGTAAGTGACAAGTCTCTGTTCTGAGGCCGGATTTGAACTCAGGTCCTCCTGACTTCAGGGCCAGTGCTCTACCTACTGCGCCACCTAGCTGCCCCATAATATATTTTTTAAAATAAATTTGTTTGTTGAATGAACAGTCCCTTTATCACTCGAGGGATAGAAAAAAAAGTTGGTTTTGTTTTGTTTTGTTAAAGTGGGAGAAATGTAGACTGAGGTTGAACAATAATATAACTCTACATGGTCACGATGCTGCAAAAGTCTCTTAAGTATATTTTAGACACGTTCAGCTACCACCATTGCCATGTTTGGTCACCACTTGAGTGGCAGTGTAGCACAGTGAAAAGAACTAACCCCAAATTGAAACCCTTCAGATGCATTCCTTAATGCTGAGTATTCCTCAGGGCTCTGTCCTGGGTCCTCTTCTCTCTCTAGACCATTTCCCTTGGCAATCTCATCAGCTTCCAGGGATTCAATGACTCTCAGATCTACTTATTCAACCCCAATCTCTCTCCTGAGGCAGTTAGCTGGCATAGTGAATGGAGTCCTAAGCGTGGAGTCAGAAAGACCTGAGTGCAAATACAGCCTCAAACACTTAATAGCTGTGTGACCCTGGGCAAATCACTTAGCTTCTGTTTGCCTTAACCCAAAGGAGGAAATAGCAAACCACTCCAGTATCTTCTCCAAGAAAACCCCATGGATAGTATGGTCCACGGGATCATGAAGAGTTAGACATGACTGAATGACAACAAATAATCTCTCTCCTAGCCTCCAGTTTTACATCTCCAACTACCTGGTGGACATCTTGAACTACATGTCCCATAAGCTTCTTAAACTCAACATGTTCCAAACTGAACCTGTGATCTTTCCCCTCGATTCTCTTCTTAACATTTGTATTATTACAGAGGGCACCAACCTCCCGGTCACACAGGCTCACCACCTCGGCGTCATCCTCCACTCTCTCACTTACTACTCACACCCACTCTGTTGCCAAGGCCCATCAATGCTCTCCTTGCAACATGTTTTGCATATAGCCCCTTCTTTCCTCTGATACTGCAACCACTCTGGTGCAGGCCCTCCTCACCTCATCCTAGCCCCATTACAGAAGCCTACTGGTTTTTCTCTCTGCCCCAAGTCTCTCCCCACTCCAGTCTACCCTCTACTCAGCTATTAAAGTGATCTCCCTAAAGCACAGGTCTGACCATGTCACCTCTCCTATTCAATAAACCCCTGTGGCTCCCTATTATTACTTCTGGGATCAGACATAACATCCTCTGTTTAGCACTCATAACCTGGCCCTCTTCTGTCTTTTCAGACTTATACCCTACTCCCCACAATGCACCCTGGCATCCAGTGACATTGGCCTCCTTGCTGTTCCTTGCACCAGACACTCCAACTCCGAGCTCCATACATTTTTACTTCCTGATCCTCATGCCTGGAATGCTCTCCACCCTCATCTCTGCTGCCTGGCTTCCTTGGTCTCTTCCAAGCCCCATCTAAAATCCCACCTTCCAAAAGAAGCCTTTCCTGATCCTCCTTCATGCTAGTGCCTTGCTTATGTTGATTATCTCCAATTTGTTGTTTACATTTTGATTGTACAGAGTTGGTGCGCAATAAATGCTTGTTACCTGACTTCCAGACTAAGCGCCAAGCCCTCCTCTGATCAGTACTAGCTGGGCTGTGAAGGTTAAATGAGATAATCCACGTCAAAGTACCTTGATGTAACCATTAAGTGGTATATGAAAAGCTGCAAGATGCAGCCAATAGACAGCTGGTTTTGAAGGCAGAAAGACCTGAGTTCAAGCCCACCTCTGACACATTCTGGGGCCGTGTGACCTGGGGCCAGTCATCTGAGTCTTCAGTGTCCCAGGTAACTTTCTACAACTAAAACTAGCAGAGCACATGTACTCTTGTTAGATTGATAGAGGCAATGATCTCATTGGGAGTTCCCTAGACCAATGGAATCACAGTTCTGGACTAAAAAAAAAAAGGGCGGCATAAATGTTGGTTATCACTAAGCTATGAATTTTCCTCTTTGGTCTCAGGTCCTCCACACCCAAGTTACATTGAGGACCTAGCTCTTCTCGGACATGATTTTTTCAATATGCCCATGGGTTTGTGAGCATTCTCGATACAGGTCTACCCAAGCTCAATACCATTTTTTTTTCATGTTTTTTAGCAACTAAAGTGCCCTGCCAAGCTGAACTGCTTCTGAAGAGTGAAAGTTAGGCCTAGGTATTTCCTTCTTCAATTTCTGCAGAGGTGTTTGGACCTGTTATTGCTATTAGGTCAGTTTTCATTCAGGTTTCTCACTTCTCAGGAATGAGCAGTAAATCTGTCTCATCACAGAACTTCTGCACCAGGAGCGTGCTCAATGAAGACCATATGCTTTTGTGTTGGGCTTGATTATTCAATGCTCTTTTCAAACAGAAGAGAATCTTGGAGAAAGGGACTGAGTGGAAATCCTTGTCTAAGCCTGAAGAACTGGGTATAGTAAAGACATGATGATGTAGCTGGAGAAGAGCCACAGAAAGGGTAGGGAAAAGAGATGCTCCAAGAACACAATGCTGACACCTTGATCTGGCAGCACGGAGGAGGAGCTTAATAAACACTTTTAAAAATTAGTCTCTGTTGTGTCAAATCTGTTGAAATGGCTGGGTAGAATTCGAGTCAGAATTCCTAGAATAAACCATATCTACTCCATCATGATTAAGACGGGGCAGCAAAGAGGACATTGCTTAGGGAGGGCACAGGAAGACATGCTAATAGAGGTGGGAAAATTAGATAAAGAATCTATAATGGGGGTAATCACCAGGAAGGAATCCTCCTCCCCCAATGTGCTCAGGCTTGACTATGCCCTATGAAGTATGCGTGAAGTTGAGTACTGAGCTCCTGAGCCTTCTTCTGGTGAGCCAGGTATGCTCCTTGGGGTGTGACAGGGAGGAGAGTGGCAGAGGGCTGGGGAGGTTGAATTAAAAATAGAATAAATAAATGTTATGTATCTCAAGTATCTTGATGAAGTCCCTCTGTCACTAGAGAAATGAGTCAAATCTCACTGCTTAAAATTCCATTGCAACTGCAATATTTATATAACAAAACGATTTCCAAGCCACCGACACTATTTTGTAGTGTTAGTTACACACAGCTGTTATGCTGCTTGATGTAGCCACAGAAGTGTCTGGCAGACTGTATCTGCAATGAGAATGACTCTGCCCTTAATAAAAAAGGTCCTGAGAGCTCCTGGTCACCTCTTGCATAGGACCCATTACTGAGTAGCTGCCAAACTCTGAGACGGGGGAAAGCCCCACTGCACT